CTTCAGTTCATTGCTGGATCGAATACTGTTTAGCTATGCTGTAATTTTAATAGACCTATACTGATCCTTAGTGGAAAGGAGTCACAGCCCTTACCATGACATTATACCTGTGCTAAACTGGTGGGCAATGTTCAGTCCCACCAAGATGGAGAGATAAAAACAGACTGGGGCAAACGTGAGCCAAGAGATTTGTAGGGGATCCAAGAGATGCCTTGGGTGAAATAAGGAAGAGGACACTCACACTAAGATCTCTGAAAGTGCAGGGCCAGCCCTGAGCATGACTGGGGGCCTCTTAAATTTTGATGTTCTGGGAACCTCACTCCCCTCACTCTAGACCTGGCCCTGATGAAAGGGAAGAATGGAAAAAAGTGATTACCAACAGGAGACTCAATGGTCCTTTAAATACAATTGTATTACTTAATGTGCTTTAACACTGATGACTACAAAGAATATATTATAACTGTAATTTTATTATACAACTCTAAATAATATATAATCAGTTTTACTTGATAGGTGATGATTTTATCAATATTACCCCATGCAATTCTCACAAAAGAGGAAGCAGCATTTAGAAAGTCTATATAATTGCTTAATGTCACATGTATAATAAATCAAAGAAATCGGGTACCTGTTGTTTCTAAAACAAGAAAAGGCACTGACTTCCCATCACAAACCTGTGTGCAATTGGTCCGATTATCCAACTTAAGCAATTTTCAGTATCCTTATCTTTAAAGAACAGAGAGGTTAGAAAAAGTTACTAGACACTAATGAACTCACCTACAAAGCAGAAACAGACTCACGGGCATAGTAAACAATCTTATGGTTTCCAGGGGAAAAAGGATGGGAAGGTATAAATTTGGGAGTTTGAAATTTGCAGATGTTGATCACTTTATGTAAAAATTGACAAAAAACAAATTTCTTCTGTATAGCACAGGGAACTATATTCAATATCTTGTAATGACATTTAATGAAAAATAATGTGACAATGAATATATGAAACTGGGACATTATGCTGTGCACCAGAAATTGACACATTGCAACTGACTGTACTTCAATTAAAAAAATATTACTAAGGAACTGTTTTTTGAGGATCAACAAAGATAGTGGTGGTGCACAGAGTACAACGGGTAAAACTAAAAGCTGACATCTTTTGTCCCTGTGCACCGCCACCCCTGCCACACACAGAGGAAATGAACACCCTCCAGTCTGTCCCTATTTTCCCAGGGTTGACCCAGTTTAATGTTTTCATCTTTGTTAATGTTCTCAAGTTTATTTTTCTGAATAAAACCCTCTTACACTTTCCACTTAGTGTCCTACCAAAAGATACTTAATTCTCATGGACAATAACCTTCCTAAAAAATATTTTAACTATCTTATAATATGAACTGAAAAATAGATACATTTGTATTTAAGATCAACTGATGAGAGATGAATGAGGATTGAAAAAGGAAGCTGAATATGAGTGAGAAAAGACATTTTCTGATACAGGGCTGCTGAATGGGAAACGCACAGAGAAGCACAACAGGATTGCCAAGAAGTTCAGTTAATTAAATGTAAGATCATAGGGCAAAGCTCTGGGTCTTCTTCACAGCTGCCAATGATGTTCCAGTGGCTGTGCTGAGTAGAGTATACTTTGTTTATCATGAGCTTTATTCAAAAAATATACGGGATGTCTCTAAAGGAACCTAAAGTGGAGCTTTTACAGTGATAATCAGTAGGGTCTAAACTGGGAAAGTGAGAAATACATAAATGGAATCATTCTTAAATTAGAAACAATTGCAGTGGTCATGAAAGCCAGTCTGGACACCTGTGACAATCCGAAGAATGAGCAATGTCGGGAAGGAACAGTGAAAAGCGCATGGTGCCTTTCATCTTTCCACAGATGCAACACCAGGGAAAAGCACAGCAGAAAATCTAACACATGGACTGAACTTCTTTTCTTGGACTTTTGCTGACGCTCCTCATCTCCAGTGTTTTTCTGTTGGGGTTGTTCTTAGTCATCTGTATCACTACCCTAACAGGCAATAGCACCGTAATTCTAATGACAAAAGTGGGTCCTGACGGCCAGATCCCCATGGAGTCTTTCCTTGGCAGTTTTCCTTCTTTAAAATGGCTATGGATTCCATTACACTTGTCACAATGCTCGTTAATCTTAGGGGTCAAAGGGAGCTATTTTTTTTTTAGTTTTAGTCATGTAAACCTTTGAGCCTTGGTGTCTTCATCTGTGACATAAAATAAGGATATTAACAGAATTCAAGAATATGTTATTGCAAACATTTTACTAACAGAATGGTAGCTCGTTAAAATCATTTTTCTTTTCCATTTTCCCAGATACTATTTAAAGCCATAATACGCTAATCACCTTTAAAAAAATATCCTAGATTGTCTAAGTATATCTCAATATAGGAGAAAGTTGGGTCTCTGTAGTTTTCAGTAATTAATCACCTAAAATATATTTGCTCACATACACTCTAGTTAAAATAATATATCCTCTGCTTTTGATATTTTTGACAATTGTCTATTCCCCACCTTTTAAATAAGTTACAGTTTTCAACTTTGATTTTCATGTATTTTATCTTAGATATAATATTAAAATGATACTTTTGAAATAAAAATGATCAATGACACATAGCAAGAGATTTGAGAATTGATATCATCGATGTAATTCGTTCAATTGCGTCATTGTTAATTAAACAGCCAACAGGTCAAAAGCATTTTTCAAATCTCTGCTGCATGTTTGGATAAGACAAATAAGGATCTTGCATTATGATGATTCATGATCACGATATTTATTTTGATGGGTAAACGCAACCAGAATCATTTCAAATAAAGTGTATGCAGAAACAGTAAGAGCTACAGCTGCACATGGGGAAGGGCGAGCGTGCCGTATTCTTATTTCTTTTCCTTGGAAAGGATCTAATTGAAGAGTAGGAAAATCCCTAAAAAATGCAATACAAAATTTGGTGGTGTCCTACACCTGAGAAAACTGGGATGCAAATCCTTCTGTCTCAGGATTCCGTTTGTTAACATGAGGAATAAAATGGACTAATTTTGTTCTACACACAAATACATGAAACATAAGAACACATAATTCTCAAACATATCATTTTCATTTAAAATCAAACCTAGAAGTAAATATTAACTAGGTGGATATATTTAGATTTTAGCATAAGTTCTTTATTAGATTTCAGTTGTATACTTTGAGTCCAGAATATAAAATACTAAACATGAATGGGAAATAGAAATCTTATGTACTAATTCCCCCTAAATCCCTTTAGTTTATAGAATTATAAAACAGGTTAAAAATATAAAGGACTAATTTTCTATTTTCACAGATGGAACACCTAAAAGACCCAGTGGGAGAAAATTTCACTTCAGTGATGGAATTTGTTCTTTTGGGATTTTCTGATATTCCCAATCTGCAAGTATTTCTTTTTGGGATGTTTTTGCTTGTCTATGTGATAACTCTGTTGGGAAATGGCATCATTATTCTCATAACCAAGGCTGACCAGGCTCTCCAGACTCCCATGTATTTTTTCCTCAGTAATTTTTCCTTCTTAGAAATCTGTTATGTATCAGTCACTCTTCCTAGAATGCTCCTAAACCTCTGGACTCAGAGAAGACACATTTCTTTGTTTGCCTGCGCAACACAAATGAGTTTTGTCCTTATGTTTGGAAACATAGAGTGCCTGCTTCTCACCGTGATGGCCTATGACCGCTACGTGGCCATTTGTAACCCCCTGCACTATCCCCTCGTCATGAACCCCAGGGCCTGTGTCCAGCTGGTGGCGGCCTGCTGGATCACGGGGGTTCTGGTTGAGATAGGGCAGACATGCCAGATTTTCTCTCTGCCCTTTTGTGGATCCAACCAAATCAATCACTTCTTCTGTGACATCCCCCCAATACTCAAGCTGGCCTGTGCGGACACTTTTCTGAATGAGATATTGGTCTTCACAGTCGCAGTCCTATTTGTTATGACCCCTTTCCTGTTGATTCTTGGTTCCTACAGTAAAATCACCTCCACCATCCTGAGGTTGCCATCGGCAACGGGGAGAGCAAAGGCCTTCTCCACCTGCTCGTCTCATGTCACGGTTGTGACTTTATTCTTTGGATCTGCAGTCATTGCATATTTACGACCCAAATCCAGAAATTCTTCCAATACAGACAAGTTTCTCTCTCTTTTCTATACCATTGTGACCCCGATGTTTAACCCCCTGATATACACTCTGAGAAATAAGGATGTCTTGATGGCTTTGAGAAAATTGCTTCCTTAATGTTGAATGCATTAGCTGTCTGACTTGAACTCATTTTCTGGTTTCCTATTTAATTCTGCCATTTGTATAATCAGAAATTAAGGTCTAGTTTGCTTTTTCTACATTACTGTAGATTTCTTATTTTTATTCATTTCAGACCTTATTGTTTTATGCTGCACTTTCTGATATGGAGATTATATCCACAAGGTGTTTTGCTGATAAGAAAGTACGTATTTAGCCCATCTCATATTCAGTTCACAAATTTACTGGTGATCTGTGACTTTTTATGGGAAAATGTTGTACTTCATACCTAGGAGTTGATGTCATAAACCTTTTCTCCCCCAACACAATAATGAATATTTATGATACATTCCTCTCTATATTACTGTCTTTCTCTTTTTTATTTTTATAATGTTTTTAGATAATAAAGATTGTAAAACTTTAAGAACATTTGCTAAATATTTATGTGCTTATAATTTTAGACATTTAAGCTTTCAGCAAATTCAATTTAATTCTTTATGATTTACAGAACACCTAAGTAAAGATTAAAAATAGGAAGTCCACATAGTGATAATTAAAAGTTTTGGATGCAGCAATCAGTTTTTTACCCTGTGCTTCTCTCTGAATTCTTCTTTGTAGATATGCTTTGTCGATAGAGCTAAATCATGGTCCTTGCATCTCAATAATTTTTACCTTAAAATTTATTAATGCAAAAAATGTGAATGCATATTTGCTTTTCAGAGATATAATGTGTATGAGATTGAACTATTTTGTCCCCATATAGATTCATCCATTCCCTAAATTTTCTTCACTTATTTTTTATTCTTTCGATGGAGTATATAATTTGAATTAAAATAGAAATGCTTAAGATATACAGTGCATTATTTTCCCAAGTTTCCTAGTATTCATATTTATTTATTAATATAGTTGTAATAAATATTTTAACACAGTATCTTTAAAAATTGATATCTGGTATAAAAGTAAGAGATTTTACACACAAACACACACACATCTGTGCTCCACACACCTGCACACATACATGAACACACGTATTGAAAATGATAAATACAAGTCTGATCAATGATATTATTATGGATATCCCAGAGCAAGTTTTTCTGTTATTTTTGTCTTTGTTTAACTGAAATTGTCTGTTCAGTACTATGAACCTGTGTTCTCCATGGTTCTCCTATTTATAGTGAATAAAGAACTCCTCCATTTTCAGCATCGCATGCTTATCTAATAAATTCTTCTCATATGCAAGAAACGGATCTCTTAAGAACTGTCATATGTCACCAGGACTTATGGTTAAAAAAGAACATTGCAGAAGAGTCACCTTTGGTAATTCATTTGATCAGAAGCAGAGGTAGCTCTGCTCACCGGCCTAAGGACACCCCTTTTTCCAAGCTGGTAGGGAAGTGCATGGCCACTGTCTACTTGGAAAAGAGAGCAAGAATGTGTATTAACAACCCTGATGACAAACCTAAGTAGAAAAATCTATTCTGGTCAAGAGTACAGAAAAGAATAAATTAATCACCAAGATTTTTAGGTAATATGCCCATTGGACATTTCAAAAAATTAATGGATATGATTGGATACAGGGGAAGACTAGCAGAAGGAGAAAGATACCAACAGAAATAATTGCAGGAAAGTTTTCTGCAGAAAATATTGAACACAGACCAGCCAATGAGTGAAATGCAGAGGAAATCACAGCGGGACAGAATCATGAGCACATAAATTGTGAGTATTTTAAGCCAGTAATTTTGAGGATGGTTTTTAAGCCCAGCACTGGATAACTGATACAGAGGCTAGCTCTGAGAAGTGGGGTGCTGTCAAAATAAAAATCTAAAACACGTGGCCTTGTGACCTGGTTGCAGGAAGAGATGAGAAGAGCTGAGAGTAAACTGTTGGAGGCTAAATAAATTACGAACAAGCTGTTAAGTGATGGTGGAGAAGTGGAGTTTTTTCTGCTATAAGAAGCTGCATAAATGACTAAGCATTGCTTTATAACAGCCAAAAGCATACAGACAAACAAAGCATGCACATTGATGCCTGCAGGAACCTGGAAGAGATTACATGTTCCCAATGAATTTGTGAATCTGGCTAAGAAAAATTCCAGGAGAAATTTTTAAGTGTGAATTTAATTATTTTAGAGGGCTCTGACCAGGAATGAAAACAAAATAGATAAACTAAATAGAGGACAGTTTAACTGACCAGCAGAATTTAGAGAAAATATAGAAAAGCCAAGACTTGCTGGGTTATCAACAAAAATGTGGCATACCCTCACTCTTTAGGAAAAGGATTAAATCAAGTGTGATTCTGTGCTGACTCCTCTGAAATCCTTAAGGCAGTGCTATCTCAGATTAAAAAAAAAAAAGGCTGTCTACCAATTTCCGATATATTGTCCTACAGCTGCCTCATATGTGCAAAGTAAAGAGAATTACATGTTGAAATGATGTATGGAAGTGGCTGTCAGATGTACTAAACCCAAATAAGAATCAGAGGAACCCACAAAGAAAGTTTAACTCATGGAAGCACCACCATGTGAACTGAAAGAGACTAAGACCATTCAAACCAAGAAGAGGTTTTTTTTCAAAACCCCAAGTGTTTTCAAAACAGTCTTAAAACAAACAAAATCCATACACAAAACAGTATAATAGCTGCAATGATCCATACCCACTAAAAAATTACTAGATATGCCACAAAGAGGAAAACATGATCCACAACAAGAAAAGAATTCAGTCAATAGGAACAAAACCACCAATAAAAAGGAATAATGGGATTAGTACCCAAGGGCATATATGAAATATTTGTAACTCTGAACAATTTCTTAAAGAGAAACATAAGCTCTATAAACAAAGAAATACAAGAAAAAAGAATTTTAATCTTTTGGAGATGATATATCTAAAACTAAATATCTAAGTTTATCTAATATATCTAAAATGTATCTAAAATACCTGAAATTAACATTTTACAGTGAGATTAATATTACAGTAAACTCTGCAGGGGAAAGTTTTAGTAAACTTGAAAATAGAAATGGAATCCATTTAAAATAATATAAACAGAACTCTGGAAACTTTCAGGACAGTATCATAAGAGTTGATGTACACATTATTGGTATCTCAGAAGAAAGGATATGGGGCAGGCTTGAAAAGTATTTGAATCATAACAACCAAACATTTAAAAAAATGATGAAATAAATCATTTGGGCAGCTAGAAATAAAGAAATGTGACTTACATGGAAAAGAAAAAAAAAGCTAATGAAACTATAAACCCCCAAATTCAATAAAGTGAACAATCTGCAAGAAACATAACCATGCAATATTGTCAATAAAATATATTATAAACAAGTACTAAAAAACAATGATAAAAAATAGAAGTAGCCAGATGAAAAATATATTATGACAGTGGAATGGATTTGATTAATGCAGCTTTCAATTTAGAAACTGTTTAGGACAGAGAGAATGGATTACATCTTCAAAGAGCTGGACAAAATAACTGTCAGTCTAGAATGATTTATCTAATGAGATGATTCTGCAAAACAGAAAGTGAAATTAAAAACTAGAAACTTTTTCACACAAACTGAAGGGAAAAAATATATCAGTAGCAGATTTACAAACACGAAATATTAAAGGAGTTTTTCAAGTGGAAGAAAACACAGGTGAAAATCAACACAAAGAATGAATCAATCTCAAAATGAAAATAAGAGAGTTGACCTGCACACCATTTTTCATCTATTTAAATGTTCTTTAAACAATAAATAGCAATTGAAAGCAAAAAGCAGTGTATCATGGTATTTATAAATGAATAAGAATAAATTGTAAGGCAATAATACAAAACAAAAGATAGGATTGTAGATACAGGAGTATTTCCTTTTCAGGATGTTACATTTTACATAATATGGTATAATTTCTTTAATGATAGTCTGTGGTGGGCAGGGCTTTATATCGTAAACTTTATACCTTCAGCTAAGAAATTAACAAGGAATATTAGATAAAAACAAATGGCGGAGGTACAGAAAATGCTAAAAACATGCAAATCATAAAAAAGGCATAATAAGAAGGGAAAACAATGAACAAAAAATATGTGTGAGAAAAAAACACAAATTAAATTTAAATCCAGCCATAGTTATAATACCACTATTGAAATATATAGCAACCCAATTAGTGTACAGCATGGTGACTATAGGTAACAATATAGTTAACACTACTGTACTGAATGTTTAAAAGCCCCTAACAGAGATCTTAAAAGTTCTCACTACAAGAAAAAATTATGTAAGTTTGGATGGTGATGGATGTTAACTAAACACCGAAAAGTAATATAATTCTCTACGTCAAATATATCTCAATTCAAAAAGACAGATATTGACCGTGTGAAAACCTGTCATTTTTTGATCTACAATACCAAGCAACAAAAGAATATGCATCCTTTCAAAGGAAACATTTACCAAGATAGACCAACCGCTGGTCCACAGAGATCTCAGTACTTAGAAATTATATACAGGGTATGTTCTCTGGCTACAATTGAGTTAAATACCAATTTCATTTTTTGGTGTTATATGTGATGAGGATGGAAAGACAAATGTATTTCTGAGTGTGATGGACATGTTCTCAATCTTGATAGTGTGATGGTTTCACTGCTGTACAAATATGCACAACTTACCCCATTACAAACTGTAAATACATACTTTTATTATGTTTCGATATGTATCAATGAAGTTGTTTAAATCTGTATTAAATTATTGAAATTGAAATACAAAACCTTTTAGTAAATAAACTAAGAGAATCTATTACTAGCACACACACACACACATATATATATATATGATGTGCCTTTGAGGGTCATTATTCTGTGACAGCCAAGAGATTTGACAAAACAGTGAGTCAATTAATTACTAACTGCCTCATATGTTGCATTTCCATTCTGGAAGTATACATAAACATTAGCAAACTGTTCCATATCCTAAATCAAGTAAAAAGAAAAGTGCCTCCAGGAAATCTCTGTCCTGTTCTACGCGGGGTCAC